ATTTTTTGTTCTTTTACATTTACAGACCCCCGCCAAAAGTTTCTGAACACTTTTTTACCCAATATTAAACTTAAAATTTTTATGCAAAACAATAAAAAGTTTATATAAATTTATTTTAAATTAATAAAACTCTAAATTTTGTATTAAGCAACTAATACTTAGTCAGGCCTCCTTGCGTAGCAATAATAGCTTGAATTTGCTATGGCATACTATTGACCAAGTCTTCAATAGTCTTTTTTGTATTTTCGTTTGTTTTTTTAATTTAATTTATTTTTTTATTTTTTTCTCCCCCTCCCGAACTTTTATTTTTTTATTTTTTTCTTTTTTTTTTTTTTTTTTTTTTTTTTTTTTTTCCTTTTTTTTTTTTTTTTTTTTTTTTTTTTTTTTTTTTTTTTTTTTTTTTTTTTTTTTTCCTTTCTATTATTAATATTGGGCTATAAAAAGTTCTGGTAAACAATAATTAAGCCAAAAAAAAATTAATCTTATAAATAAAATACCTTTTTTTTTCCCCTTTTTCAAAAACTATTTCTAATATTACTCAAGAACTTGTTGACATTTCGCATCTGACAAAACATAATCATGACTTTGTTTTATACTCAACCTATTCGCTCTTTCGATCACACCTGTACAGAAAACTATAATAATATCCCTCCGCGGTCTTCTTCTGCCTCACCTGAAAAGTCTTCAAGCAAGGAGACAATTCCTCGTATGTGTACAACTACTCCGCCATCTCCATCCCCATCTTTTAACGACAAATCTTGCGATCTACCCATCGTTGCACCTTGTCCAAAGAAGGCGTTGTATGCTTACGCTGGACACTTATTAAACAATGGTTTTCCTTCAGTTTTGCCAACACCACAAAACCCATGGGGGTTGTCTGCTGTGCAAGAGGTCATTGAGGATGATCCAATGTTTGATCCTGTTGAACTTTTAGAAACGATGTAAGTATGATTACCTATTTTCAAAGTGAAAATCCATCTTGTCAATTAAATTTTTATTTTTATTTAATTTTTATTTAATTTATTTTTTTTTCACGAATTCAATTTGTTTACAATCTTTATCTCCTTCTTATTAAACCATTCTAGGTCTGATGAGGCCCTTGCTTGTGCAGAACTAATGGAGATTATGGGTAATTCTAGTCGTGGTTCTAGTCGACCAGTTTCGCAGTCTGGTTCTCCAGATAGTGGTCATCTCGATCGTTCATTGTCTCCATTAAATCAAGATGAGGAAGGAGAAACTACCAAGGATGTTAATAATATTACTTATACTCCTTACACTGGGGCGATTGAGATTGAACAGATTCGACAGAAACCGGCACCTCGTCCTATACGTCTGGCCGTTGATAACTCGCATTTGTTATTCGGTTCTTCCCCAATTACTCGTGCACATAATCCTTTACCTATGGATTCTTGCTTTTCCCCAAGCAAACGTCATCATCATCAATCTCAACCGTATCCTTCGCGACCAACGCTTCATCAAGCTACCAATATTCAGCGTAAATTATGCGATGCCGTTGCCGATATGCATGTTAGTGGGGATTCCTTGGATGATTCTTCCCAACCTCCTTTATCCAAAGCTTCTAAGGCTGCGATTTTGTTGCGTATCTCTGAAGGTGGTCGACGTAGATCATTATCTGTTGGGAGCGCCGGTTTTAAGCCTAGTAACAAAATTATTGGTCGTGTCTAAATTATCAGATCATTGCTTTTATTTTCACACTCTTCCCATAATAATTCAATTATATTTTTTTACAATTGTATATATTTGTTCTTTTTTTTTTCTGCACATAATTTTTTTTCTTTGCTAATCAAACATTTGTTTTTATATATATATATTTTTTTTTTTTGCGTAATGTTTTTTCAAAAAAAAAAAAAAAGTTTGAACACAAATGACAAATGGCTCTTTTTTTTTCTTTTCTTTTCTTTACGTACCTGTTATACACAAAAAAAAAAAATTTCGTTTATAATATTAGCATTTATATATATATATATATTTTTTTTCATACTCTATAATTTATTCTTAATCAGTCGTATTTTACTATTAGTATTTTAGTAAAGGACGATATATCATTCATCATTTATAACGTAGGTTGATGATGATTAATGATAGATCAATCCCTTTTTAATATGATTGTATCATTTTCTCTTATATACTTTTTCTTTTTTTTTTTTTTTTTTTTCTTCCTTCTTCTGTATCTTCCTTTTTTACTTTCTACATTTGTTTTTTTGTCTATAATTTTTTATTAGAGTTCATTTTTTATAAAAAAAAAAAAAAAAAAAAATTATATGTATATATATACATACATATACATAAGTAATATATATTAACTTTGTTATAATAATTAAATAAAAAAAAAATTTAAAATATAAATTTTTTTAATTTTTTTACGATGTGTGTGACCATGATGATTGATTATCATAATTTCGACCAGAATTAGCCGAAAAGTTAAGTAAACCTGAAATTACGTGAATTTCATCATAAACGGCAAATTATCACGGGTTTTCACGTCGCGACATTTTGACATTTTGACATAATCCATTGAATATGGTTAGTCTTTGAAAAAATATTTTCACATCATTCAAATTTTGCAGATGTCAATCAAAGTAATCAACAATCTCGTGTAAAATTCAGAACAAAAGTAGTTATATAATTATTCGCTCCGCGTTCTTAATAGGTCACGTTCTTTTTTTTATTTTTTTTTAAAAAAAAAAAAAAAAAAATTATTTTTTTATTTAAAGAAAAAAAAAAATAAAAAAAATGGTAAAAGAATAAAATAAAAATAAAAATAAAATAAAAATAATAAAAATTAATAATAATAATAATAATAAAAAAAAAAAAAAATTATATTATTCACTCTTAATTAATTTATTAATTTAAAATGTAAAAAAGTCGCATGTAAAAACGTAAAAATCAAAAGACATGCGGAGTGGTGTTTTGGATGCTTGACTTATAAATCGATACCCTTTTTTTTAACAAATACTACCGTGAAAATTCCGCGAAATACCGTAAATTCCTATCCGCTAACTGAAGCCACTAAAAAAAAAAAAAAAAACTAATAATGGAACATAATCGTCTCCATAAATAAAGACACAAACTTTAGTCCAAATTCATGAACAGATCGGGAAAATTTCTTTGATGGCGTAGTACATTTCAATGAAGAAATTTAACATTACAATGTAGTGCATTCCTAGTACACCAAACTTGAATGTATTCAATGTAATCATGCAGAAAAACTGAATAATGATCTACAGTCTCGACTTAAATCGGCAATATTCTGTGTGGTCAATATCTTTTTTTTCTTGTTTGTACAAACATAAACATTATCTAGCAAGATCTTGTAATAAACTTGACGATACATATTATTACCCTTTGAATGTTGAGTCACGTCCCACTGCGAAATAAAAAATTTTTTTTATTGATTATAAGACATCTTTTATGTGGTGTTGATTAGCAAATACACATATACCGCGCCACTACACCTCCTACGTAATATATAAAAAGCCCACTCAACTGTAATTTTCCTGCTGTTTCGATATTCATGATGTTATGATTCTACATTGAAGTGAACGCAAATGTAAAATCACGACACTATTTATGTTTCAAGATTTCAAATGCTTCGTTAATTAATAAATCAACACGTTCCTTTGATGTTCATTTGTAAAAATTACTACTTCCTATTAAAAATCCTACCTATGTATAAATGGAGATTCATTCGTACCTTATGATTTTTCTTTCCTTTTCTTTTCATTAAAATTTTTCTCTTGTTAATTCCCTTTCGCGTTATGATGCATCCAATTGAGATCTTGAAATCATTCTCTCTTGTAATGTGTAGTTACTTTTTTCCTTTTTTTTTTTTTTTTTTTTCTCATTATAGATAAAACGTAAAACAATATGATCATTGTTATCTTACCCGATGCTCCACGTGATCGGCACACATAAGAATAATTTGGCATTTAGCCATTTAGTCGATCAAAAAAAAAAAAAAAAAAAAAAAAAAAAAAAAAAAAAAGGTCACTCACATTTAAGACTTTCATTTAAAATTAAGCCTTATGTCTCTCATTTGTGATCAACACGTTAAAAAAACCAAAGATCGTTATTAAAAGGTCAAAATATTAAAATTTGAATCAAACTTACGCGAATTAAAAAAAGATGTAAGTCAAAATTCTTTGAATTCTTGAAATCCTTTTTCCCACAATCCTGCAATTAAAATAATAAAATCATTCTATGAAGATCTATCATTCAATTGCGCCAACAGATCTCCATCTTAATCTTTACTCTTTTTACCATCACCTCCCATAAAATCCTACTACGCCGGTAGCACACTTCTTAAGACAGCAAACAAAAGGTGAATCATTTGACATTTCCGCGTGTTAACACGCACTTTATTACCTTAAGAAATCTTAATCAATAAACCTTTATTTACAACCAAAACAACTTTTTTTTTTTTCCAATACAGAACGAGAAATACAAACTCCTGACAAAAACAACGCCATAAAAAAAAAATAGGTAATAAGTTGGAAATCTTAAGTTCATATAAGCTGGCGTTGTTTGTATCAGGAACATAAGTAATAAAAATTTTTTTTAAAAAAAAAAAAAAAAAAAAAAAGTGCTCCGGTTGTTATTTGTAAATTATGGGCATATGAATAATAAAGAAATTTTTTTAAAAAACGTCTAAATTAAAAGGGAAGTGATGGATAAAAAATGTAAAGTAAAAATCAATATTTTTAGGTGGATTTTGCAAACCAAATGAAATAGAAAGGAGTAATGGAATATTATAAAGGAAATTGAAAGGGAAAAAGTCCTTAATTATAGCATAAAAATAATAAAAATGGTGTGATATATGGTATGCCCCCGCAATTTATATATACATATATATATATAAATATAAAATCATAGAAATCATAAATTAATAATCTTAATCATAAAATCCCACAATAATTTCCAAAAAAATGTCCAATATCCCCCAAAAATGGCATATTGATATTTGTGATTTGTGATTTCAATTACAACACATCTACCCCGCCAGCCCCACTGTACCCGCTTTTTTTGTTCGAACGCGTACTATTGACTGGGCTGGGTTCATCGTCGACTGCCATAATTTCATCACTTCCGATTTGAGATGACACGTGATTTTCGCCAGATTCCTGACGTGTTTGACCAGTAGAGTTTTGTTGGTGCATATTATATTCTGCGGCATTTCTACGAAAAATTCCCATAACAGGTCCTAAAAGACGAACGAATGCATCTCTTCTGAGAGCTGCTAAACGTACGGAACCTCTTGAAACAACAGTTGCTTTGCGTGGTTGATCATTGATAAGTGCGAGTTCTATTCGGATAAAAGTTATGAGAACAAAATTCGATGAGTTTTTTTTTTTTATGGTAATATACTCCATTTTTTTTAAATTGATTCTTATCTACTTTTGATTACCTACCACCAAAATAGTCGCCAACAGTAAGACTTGGCAATTGTTGTTCAGTTCCCGTATCGGTAATCTTACTGACATTAACTGTACCTTGTTCGATTATATAAAAATATTCACCAGGATCGCCCTGGCTTATGATGGTATCACCATCCTCAAAAATATTAGGTTCTAATGCGTCAGCAAGTTTGGAAAATTCGGACTGGTCTAATGTTGTAAGGAACGAAACGGATCTTAGAAATTCTTCATAAGCTGAACGTTTTCGATAAACGCTGCTAGTGATGGTAAGTAAAAATGTTTCTCTGCCAACAGCCCATAAGGTTCCGCCTGTCTTAGCTCTTACTGTTGCGGCACGTGGTGTCTATTATAACAGATCAGACATAAGATTCTGGTTTTTATATTTCATCAGAGTACAAAAGAATGTTATACTTACATTGTACATTAAAGCGAGTTCTCCAAAGCTACCTCCATTTCCAACTTCTAAAACTAATTGACCGTTGACAAAGATTTCGAATATACCATGTTCAATAACATAAAAATAGTCTCCTTCGTCACCTTGCCTAATTACGATTTCATTTGCCACTACGGGTTTTTCGAACATTGCATCAACCTAGATCACATGACAGAGGTTAATTAATACGTCATGTGATAAACAAACACGTAGGACGGGTACTTACAACATGTTGCTTTGTTTCGCGATCGAGATTTTTGAACAACAGGTTGAGAGTAGTAGCTTCATCAATTCGTTTTTTTGCTTCATCGGATTTATAAATAATTGGACGTTCATCAAGATTGGCTGTTGGTTTGATGGATTCGGCACTGACAGACATACGACGTCCCTTCCTTGGGGTTGGGACACGGGAATGATTGTTTCGCGCGGTATGAGGTAATTGATGGTTGTTCGGTGGTGAAGGAGGTAACGTCGTTCGTCGATGATGAACAAGGGTTTCGTCAGTGTGTTGATGAGATACATACTGATCAAAGTTTTGCCCTGGAGGATGATGTGTGGTAAAGTAGGGCGGTGTTCTGATCTCCATTCTAAAATATCGTTCAAAAAGAAGTGAAGAAAATAATTAACGAGAGAATAATGGAATGATCAAAATTGTTTAAACACATGTAATAAAGTACAAGAAATTTTTTTTTTTAAAAAAAAAAAAGAATTTACAATGTATCCTCTTCAGAACGTTGACGCTTTCTTCTATTATGATTATTACTTGGCTCCGCTATATATAATAAATCATGAGAAAAATTTAGAAATCAATGATTCACAAGATGAACGATTAGAAGATCAAAAAAAAAAAAAAAATAACAAATAAACTTACAGATTTGCCCGGAAGTAGTAGTTGATGGTACGTTTCGTTGAGTGCCAGCAACACTGTTCAGTTCCAAGTTTTGGGTAGCGTACTCTTCAAACAATTGCTGTTGAAAAATAGATCGAAAACATTTCGTCAAATCGAAAAAAAGTGAAGAGGAATTTCAAAAGGTTTGACAATTTGTTTTGATCCAAGGCAGGATGAAAGGTTCGAGGAATTGCAAAATGATTTGGGCGTAGTACAATTATTGAACGCGAGTAAAAGATACGCGTGCGCGCGTAATAGAAAGAAAAAAAGGAAGGAAGTACAAGTTAGTGAATACAGCTTAGACAGTTATGTGGCTTGGCCGCATATGACAAAACGGTGAATTGTTTCCAAGTCGGAGGAATAAATACGAAAAGGGAACAGTGCATAAAACGGTAACTCTACTTTGACATAAACGAAAAAGGTAAGGGTTTTTTACGTAAACAAAAAAAAAAAAATAGAATAAATACTTTACCGAGTACAAAGGCGAGTCTCGAGACTCTCTCTTCTTTTGTTGAATAGATCGCACACAACCGACAATAAATTCGTAAGGATCTGAAGGTTGATAACGAAGCAGCGCACCTTCGAGTTCTGGAAACAATTTATTTAAATCGTGATGTTCCATATACGTTAGCACTTGAGGGTCTTGCATTGTTTATGAATAAAAATGTTAAAGGACGTAAGTAAAAAAAAAAAAAAGGTTCTATCAAAAAAAAAAGAATAGAGGTAAAGGTAAAAATTCGGGTCAAAAAAAAAAAAATTTAAGGAAAGGTGTAATATGCGTGATTTTTTTTTGTTTTGAATGTGATATAAATTAGATAAGATAGGTGGTAAAAATATTAAAATTTATATCAAATATCGTTAGTTTAAAAAAAAATTTGAAACGCCGAGCAGTTTTTTTTTCTTGTTCCCGAACCTTTACCAAATATCAAAGAAAAAATAAACCAATTTTTCAATAATATCAAGTATTAAAGACGAAGGTGGCTGCTATTTGGTGGCACGTACAAAAAGAGAGAGACGAAGACGCGCGCAAAATAAGGGAGCGTAAAGAAATCGGTATAAAAGTCGCGTTTTTTAGTTTCTTTTATACAAAAATGCAGTGTGGGAAAATATAATGGCAATGAAAGCTGAACACAAGAACAATGTCCCAGAAGAGAAATCAAATGGATTTTTCTTTTGCAGCCACTGCACGTCTTTTTTTTTTTTTTTTTTTTTTATCTTTACTTCAATTTAGGTGAGGGGGGTGATGCGCAAATTCAAGCACGATTTAGGGGACAAAGCAATTGTCCACTTGTAATAAATTACCCAATATGAAATACTTACATCAAGAGCCTTAATTAATTATTATATTGTATGGATTATGATGATGAGGGATATTGGTTTTGGAAAGAATGTGGGTAATATAATATATAAAATATATATATATATATAATATAAAATAAAGTAACTTGAAAGTAGAGTGTCTACAAAAAAAAAAAAGGTAAAAAAAAAAAAAAAGGGGAAAAAACAAGGCACAAGGAAAAGAAAAAAAAAAATGTCAAAACTGCATCATGGCAAGGGTTTATAATGGAATTGAGAAGTTGGATCAAGAGATGAGGTCGGAAGTTCGAATACCATATTTGATCAAGAATTCGGGAGATGATAGAGTTGAAGTGGGAAGGATGAAATGAGTTGAATCAATGATAATTGGTGCAATAGTTAATTTTGTTTATTAGTTCATCTATTTCCTTACCATCTTTTTCAAATTATTGTAAACATAAAAGTATATCAACAGCGTGGAATATTACCTAAATTCCCATAAGATTTTCCTTTGGGCTTTGTTTGCGATCATTTGTTACTTGTAAACAAAATGTGATAAGCATTGTTTACTTAACCTTCACTTTTTCAGTTACATTTTCACGCTTTTATTTAATCCATGCACGATACCTCGCTCCATTTGGTAACGAGCCATTCATCACTTCAACGAATTTCTTCTTTGACACACCCCATTTTTAATAATTTTTTCCCCCCTCTTATTTATTTACTTCCCTATTGTTTATATTATTATTTTTTATTTATAATAAATAATAATATAATAATAATAATAATAATAATAATAAAAAAAAAAAAAAAAAAAAAAAATCTTTCTGTACCTACTTTCATCGAGAAATTTATAACGACCAGTTGTATTTACCGTTTACGATTGTTATACAAGTTTTGTTATGCATATTTTGGCTGCAAACTGTGGTAACTCATACAGAATCTTACAACATTGAAACTAGAAAAGATTTGGTTGCCTGTTGGATTTCTTTTTCGGGATGGATTTCTTTCATTCCTGTATAATGCTGTATTTTGGTTTATCACCATTTTTCACTTGATAGTTAACTAAACTATTAATATTAATATATATAAAAAAAATATCTCAATTTAGGGACCAGAAAAATGATTACGAAAAAAAAAAAAACCTTTTTTGAAATTTCCGATTTGGGAGAATTAAAAAATTATTTACACTGGGTTTGATACTCATAAAAACATGAACGTTACTAATAATGGTAATTGTTAGTATGGTGTTTTATTCATTCAATTTTAGATTTTTTAGATTTTAAACCTTAAATTTTTTTCTGTACAGATTAGCGAAGCTTAATGATATTTTTACATCTCAACCAAATGAAGAAAATTAATTACTTACCCTTGAGCCAATTAAAACAAAAAAAGAGATTTGGGAAACGTGGTAAATAAATACATCAGCAAATTGCACCATTGTTTCTTTCCATGTGGAATCTTGTACTTCAGAAAATCACATTGTTAGGATCTTGATCTTCATTTATATATAAAAAAAAAATAAAATAAAATAAAAAAGAGTTCCTTATTTTAATTAATTTGGTATTTGCAAGGTCAACTAGTGCTTTAATTACCAAAACTCGTGGAAAATAAAATGAAAATTTACACTGATGGCGTGAGATGACAAAAAAAAAAATTAATTGAAAAAAAAAAAAAAAAATCTGTTTGGGTTCCAAAATTTTATTTGTTTTTATAAGTCGGTGCGTAACCCAAGAGAGAAAAAAAAATTTTATTTGGCAGGTAGTCACGTGAAATTATCTTTTTCTTTCTGAAATCTCAACAACTCGTGGAAAAAAAAAACGCAAAAAACGTGCAACCTTTACGGAAAATTTCCACGCGAGAGATAAAAAAAGGTTGCATTATTTATATTTTGTGGAGCATTAAAAAAGAAGTCTGTGATTTTTAAATAGTTGATCTTTTTTAATAATATTTGTTTGAAGAATTATCGTCAACAGGGTTTATAACATGTAGTAACTTTCGATATGTCTAATTAATAGATATGATACACAACATAAGAACTAAACCTAGTTCATATGGTGTGACTTTGTTTAACATTCCAAGAAAGAAGAAAACGCCATTTCACGCGTTTAATATACCAAATGAAGAACATTTTTAAATATCAGGTTAAATTACAAGGTTATCTTCCTGACTACGTTGTTTATTCCATTCAATAACTTTCCTTTTATAATTTTGAATCTTTACAATTAAATATTTGTTAATAAAACCTTTTTTTTTTTTTGATCATTGATTCAACTTGCGTTTGTTTATAATTTTATAATCAATTCATATCTCGTTCCTGTACCACTAACAATTAGTCATTTGATCTACTTTGGGATTTTTTTAAATCAGCCAATCATATCTCCCCAGATTTTTTTTGATTTGATTTTATTCCAATACAGGTAGCGCACATGACAGAAAAACCGACAACGTTTTTGCAAATTGCGTTTGTCTAGTCCTCTTGTCGTGTTAATCCCGTCCTATTATCATTATTTAGTACCCTCCTGCAAAAGAAATGTCTGACGCTGACGATGATTTTATGCTTGAAGACGATGAGGAGGATTACAACTTCGATTATGAAGACGACGAACAGGAAGAACCTGACGTCGATCTAGAAAATAAGTACTATAACGCAAAAGGTATTTATTTATCAAAAGGCTTATGAGAATTGATATCGATTATCAAGTTTTACTGAATATAATTAACGTTCATATAAATTTAGTAAAACATTCGTTTTATTTTTTTATTTATTTTTTTTTTTTTTAAAATCACAACTTTATTAAAATTTTCTATCTACATTCGAATTGATCAGCGCGAAAGGAAGATGATCCTGAATGTGCTATCAAAGAGTTTCAGAGTGTGGTGGATACTGAACAGGAAAAAGGAGATTGGTGAGCACTTTGATTGGAAATTCATTTGCAATTTTTCTACGTTGAACGTTATCTTAATTAATTGTTATAATATAGGGGATTTAAAGCTCTCAAGCAAATGGCAAAGTTATCCTTTAAAGCGGGTGATTATGAATCGGTGGATATTATACCTAATTATTGATCATAATTTATCGGTTATGTATCTTATATTAACTCCTGACATATTATGTGTACAGACGCTTAAATATTACAAGCAACTTCTTTCTTACACAAAATCTGCGGTGACGCGAAATTATAGTGAGAAGAGTATCAATAATATTTTGGACTTTATCTCCTCTTCTCAAGATATGGCTTTCATGGAGGAATTTTATTCAACTACTCTGAGTGCATTAGAAGAAGCTAAAAATGAGGTCAAGATAGGATGATATATAAGTTATCAACCAATCTATGCATTTTGTAACATTCGTTTCCCTTTTACAGAGATTATGGGTTAAGACCAATTTAAAATTGGCAAAGCTTTGGCTTGATCGAAAAGAGTATACTCGTTTGAATAAGGTATTTCTACTTCAGTAATTTTCGGTCAAGTTATTTAATAATTTTCTTTTCTTGTTAAACCATAGGTAAATCTTGATTTAATTTAGATCCTACGTCAGCTTCATACTTCTTGCCAAAAGGATGATGGAACTGATGATCAACGTAAGGGTACTCACTTATTGGAAATTTTCGCGCTTGAAATTCAAATGTACACAGAAACCAAAAATAACAAAAAATTAAAGGTTTCGTATGTTTGGTTTTTTATTGTAGTAAAATGCTACAAATTAATATACTGAATGATCTCCCTCATCATTTAGGCATTATATCAACAATGCCTACATGTCAAATCTGCTATTCCACACCCACGTATAATGGGAGTTATTCGTGAATGTGGAGGGAAGATGCATATGGGTGAAAGTGAGTAACATTTTGTGAGACGATCTACCTTACGTGTATCAAGTTACCTAAAATATTTTGATTTGTCGCTTCAGAGGAGTGGGACAAAGCCCAAACGGATTTCTTTGAATCTTTTAGGAATTATGATGAAGCCGGAAGCCCTCAACGTATACAAGTGCTAAAGTGAGCAAAAATCAGATTCGTAAAATCATTCCAATATCATTGCTATTAATCTTAACCTTATTTAATCGTAGATATCTTGTTTTAGCAAACATGTTGACCGAATCGCAAATTAATCCCTTCGATTCTCAAGAGACAAAGCCGTAGGTATCCATCCTCAACGCCTTTTAATTTTCATTTTATTAATCACTCTTTGATTAACCTTGCAGATACAAGAACGATCCACAGATCGTTGCTATGACAAATCTTGTTAGCGCATACCAACGTAAAGAAATTCGGGAATTCGAAAAAATTCTAAAAGGTTGGTTATATGCAATGAATATTTTTTTAAAAAAAAATTTCAAGTAATTATATT